TGCCATACATGGATGTGCAACAGTAGTGAGTAGGAGTGGAAAGCTGTTTCACTACACTTGACATTGGCTCTTTTTACCAAAGCCACCCCAGTGTTAGTTCCTGTTGAATTGCTTTACTTTCCTGCTGTAAGCTGTAGATCTCTTTTCCAGAGTCTGTTTTCCAGGATGCAGTGGTCCATTCATTAGGTACATCTTCCATTCCTAAATAAATAACGTTTGAATGTGCCCAGCTTGCCAAGTGGTTCATATCTTTTTTTGTTCTAAGTTTTTATATTTTAAGGATATTTTTTTCCTATTTGCTTCCAAATTATGGATGAAAACATTGAATAGCAGCAGGCCTAGGGCCAATGCCTGTGGAACTGTTAGAAACATGCCAGCTACTTGATGGTGATTCCTTAGCGACTCATACTAGGGAGGTATGATGGGATGATTTGCACTAATCGTGCCTCATTCATAGTCGCACTCTCTAAAGCATGTACTACTTGCCACTGTTGGAAACTGGATATTGGATTAGATGATCTATTGATCTGACTCACTATGGTACTTGTTTTCTAGTTCTGTACTGGTGAGAAAATGAAGGGATGTTTGGACCTATTATGTGATCGGGCTGGGGCACAGTTTTAATGCCAATGGATGCTGCTGTCCAAAGGAAGACCATTTTATGTCTGTGGTGCTTATTAATTGTAGAAAGTATGTGGACAATGCATCTTGGAGGCACGTTCATTGTTGGATAGCTCCCCACTTTATTTGGGCCATTCTGAAACTGGTGCGCAGAACACATGTGTTATAAAGAGCAATCTTGGATTGGCAGGAAAAATGAATTGGATGGCCTAGCAGGAGCCTTCCATCTCTGGTTTGTATGACTTTAGACAAGGTGTCAGTTCTGGTGTTCTGAAATATGCATGAGAGCAGTTAAAATTTACATTACAAAATAGTTATTGCCTATAACAGTGACAGACCAGCTCTGTGTAAACTTTGTTTTGTCTGCTTGGCTTACTACTTATTACAGGTCAAACCTACCCACTTCTTTCTTACTGACAGACTAATGTAGATTCCTGTGCATTCCTTATCACCAAGGAAGGGAAAACATTTTGGAAAAAAAAAATCCATAGCTGCTGTTGGAAGTGGCGACTTCTGTGTTGTTAAGATGCCTCTGAATTCAGTGAATTTGGCTAAAATGCAGTTTGTGTCTGCAGACTCCTTACAAGGTGTGGTATCACTTGTGCTTTGTGGCTATATATTCTGGTGTTCAGTCTCTAAACTTAAATGAGGTGTTGGCACAGTAAATCCTTTCAGGTGATATACTTTATTTTTTTAAACATTTAACTCTTTAGTACTCCAAGCCCAACTTTTTTGATAGGAAATCTGAGTGTTTTATAAACATGCTTCAGGAGGTGGAGGGTTGGTGCACTTTAATTGGTGAGGTGTACTAATTAAAAATGCCCAGGTGTCACGTGTATCAGCATCTCTGTGCTGGAAAAATGGTGGAGGGGTGCCACCCTGCTGCCATTTTTCAGCACACGGATGCTGTTGCATGTGATGCTGGAGGCTGCTGGAGAGAGTTAATTTACCGTGCTTTAGGAGACTTGATTAATCGATTTGATAGCACATTGGAGCAGCCTCCCTGCAGTGTGTGTAAGTGCCCTGTGTTCACTAAAGGCAAATTGCTTCAGGCTTCAAGTTCTTGGATTGTGTTGGTCCCTAACAAATTTTCATTGAAAGGGTTAGACTGAGGACTCAGTTAAAGATCTTTGCCTCAAGAAGTATCTTCTGCATTCTGAATTTCCTCTGTAATCAGAAATGTTTGGATGGGATACAGACACAAGTGCAATCAACAACTTAATTAACAACCCGTTAACATTGCTCAGAGCCAATATGCATTCAAAAGTGAAGTCAAAGTTAAGGGATCCTTTAGCCTTACCCTTTGCATCTGAAATGATACTTGCTTAAAATCTATATCCACAACTACCTATTTGTATTGGTAATGTACATAATGTGACTCAATTGTTGCGTTTTTCTTAACTCGCTGCAACACAACCTTCCCTCAGTTTTCACGTGGCTCATGTCTCAAACTTGATATGTAACGAGAGATCACTCACTCATTTCTTCCTCCCTTGTTTTGTAGCTTGGGAGAAGAGAAGATAAAAGGCACATTTTAATAGGTCTCAACACACACATACTTTGGATTAGATCACAGAACAAAGCACTAGCACCCCTCTATCTGGACATACCAGATGACAAAAGTGCGTGATTCAGCATCCCTTAAGCAGAAGTTCCTTTTACCTATTTTGTTTTCAATGCGACGTGCACCCAGTGGGTTTATAATCCTTTGTTCTCAAGAAGCAACATACAAAACCTTAGCGATTTGGCCTGGTTTGAAAACTGGATATTAGTTTGTGGAGGTTTTTCTGCCAACTTCCTTCACCAGTATAACAGCAACACTTGCCTACCTGTGGTTTTCTTATTTGTCAATCCAAATTAATTATGGTGACTAAGTTGAAAATGGCTAATTACTAATTATTAGCATGATGCATTTTGCTTATAATGAGGAAAAAATTAGTGTTTGGTTTTTTAAATTTTATATTGACAGTGAAGAAAGTGCTGAGTCATGTTTGCTATTTGAAGTGTATGGTTGTAATTTGGCAAACAAGGTTCTTTGGGTAAATTTGCTATCTTTTATTGGTCCAACTAAATAGCTGGAAAAATTGTTCTTTGCAAGCTTTTGAGCACAAACACCCTTCAGGCATAGGAAAATCTCTGTTTTCTGTTCTCCTGGGTAGACTAAAAGCCCAAATGCAGATTGGTGAAGATGCAAATACATGGTAGGGAGGATCAGAGGGAACGAGAGGCAGTAGGTGCAAGGCAGGTAGGTGGGGGCAGGAGAGGGGAGGGCTTTGACTTGGTGTTAGAATGTAGCTGGTAAAATGCAGATGGGTTCTGTAGGGCGATCAGATGGCAGATGGGTTATAATGTGCCTGAAATCCAATGTCTATATTTAGTCCATGCTTTTTTGTACCCTGTAGTTTTATGAAGTGAAGTTTGTAGGTTTGTCTATGAAAGGTGTTCTGTAAACTTTCCTCTGAGGCTTAGAATTGAGAGTGGTTTTCCTGTGAAAAGTGGTACCCGCAGGTAATTAGGTATTCTTGTGTTTGATAAATTTCTGGTGCTCAGTTGTTGCTTGGTCTCTTACATATTTGCCATCAGGGCATTTAGTGCGTTGGCTAAGATTACATTTTTGGAGGTGCAGGTATAAGGTCCAGGAATGGTGATGGTTCTGTTGTGGGGTGTAATTATTGTGAGAGTGGTGGAGATGTAAACCTGCCAACACCTGTCTTGTCCTGGTATGGTCTGGATTCTTTTAGTGTTCTGAGATGTAGGAAGCTTGCTTCTGGTGATGAGATTGGTGAGGTTCAGTGCTTGTTTAAAGGCTAGGGTGTGAGTTCTGGGAAGATCTCTTTTGAAGAATTGTGCCTTCTAGTATAGGTTGCAATTGCTTGAGGATTTTCCATGTAGGATCCAGGGAAGGGTTGTATGTCATAACTTAATGGCATGTGATTTGTGGGGATTCTTTTTGTATTGCACCAGTTTTTCACATGGTATCTGGGTGGCTCTTTCAGACATGTGATCTGTTTCTCTGGAGGAGGGTCCTTGTTAAGTGAAAGACCTTTTGAGATTTGTGAGGTGATGATCACGGGTGTTCTTTTCAGTGCAAACTTGGTGGTATCAGAGGGCTTGGCTGTACAGCTTCCTTTGTGTATTTTAGGGAGATTGCTGGTTCTGTGTAGATGTGAATGTTGGTCCATGAGTTTCTTGTGTATTATGGTGGCTTGTATTGTAATATTCTGGATATTGATTGTAGCATCTAAAAAGGAAATGCTGGTGCTGGAGTATTAGAGAGCTAATCTGATGGATAAGTGATGATCAGGGGTCCTGGTTTTCTCTGTTTACGATTGCAAATTCTCTGACTTTTAAAAATGCTAATTATCCAATTTTAATCCCACCCAAATCTGTGGGGTTTTTTTCCATGATTAAAATGAAAGGGTATGTTGTGTATGTATGTGTATTGAACACAATGTTTTATTGATTGATTGCTTTAAAAACTGTAAATATAATTTGAAAGCCTGCCAGTGCCTCAATCACTAATTTAAAAAAAAAAAATTCTAAATACCTGTAAATGTTGGTGGGTTTTTTGGTTTTTTGGGGGTTTTTTTTTTTATCATGGGGAAAATCCAAGCTTCCCT